ACAATGACAAATTCGAAAACAAAATAACAAGTCAGAAAACACAATGACAAATTTGAAAACAAAATAACATTAATAACAAACCAATGATTAATCCCAAACCAATGGCGCTGTCTCAAACTATATCTATTGTTATTTTGTTTTCTAATTTGTCATTGTGTTTTCTGACTTGTTATAATGTTTTCTGAATTGTTGTTGTGCTTTCTGAATTGTTATTTTGTTTTTTAGACTTGCATTTGCGTTTGTAATTTGTTATTTTGTTTTCAGAATTGTGATTTGCTTTGCACTTCTCGGCCACCGTAGCGCAATAATTCTGACTAAAATATACATTTTGCTAAAATATTTGTAGTTGGACAATAAATGTGCCATGTGTACAATTTTAAACCTACAGGTAAGTGTATTTTATGATAGCAGTAACTGTAAAGTGACTATTGTAAAGGGGTAATCAAAATATAATGCAATTAATCTGTGCTTTTGTTTTTATTTCTTTCATTTTTAGTTTAGTGAATTTAACTTCTGCTTTAAAGAGCATTGATTTAGTTTTTAGATTGTAATGTTACGATGTAATGTGATTTTAGCCCCTTTTTGCACATAATAGCCCATAGCATGGTTACTTTCACTATATTTGTTTTCATTGTCTTTAACCTGTAACTTCGTGGCATACAACTCGAGAAAAAAAGAAAAAAAAAAAGAAGCTAAACATATCTTTGGAAAGCTGATTCCATTTTAAGATACAATCAACAGAGCAGGTATAATCAGTGTCTTTGCCAACAAGGCTTCATGCTGTGATCCCATTGTGTTTTCCAGCTAATAGCTCCCAGCTATTGTCATCTGCAGTGCAGGCATCTGTTTACAAAAAAAAAAAAATGTAGGCAGAATTTTTTTCCTTTTTCAGTGTGTTCAAAGTTCTATTACTCAATATCAGTAAGACTTACAGTGACACTCCTAAACAGAACAAACCTCAGAGTGTCGCCTTTCAAAAGAGACCAAAACCATGCATATACTGTACTCCAAATGGTTCAAGAACAGCATGCAATTTACTTTGGGTATGCCTTTTGTAGGCGTTCTAAGCAAATTTTACAGGAATGCTAAGGGGTTAATATAAACATTGCTACATTGGACAACACTGGGCATGGCTTTATCAGTTGTAGGATGATGAGAATCATGTGAATCTGGGAGGTTGTCTCCTCCCAGTGTTGTTTGAGTTAAACTGCTTTCACAGACATTTTCATGTTGGAAATGATTACCTCTTTCTTCTGTAAGGCTGGATGTTTGACCTGACTTTTCCCAGCATTTATTTTCCTGTGGGAAAGAATAGATTTTTTTCTTCGGGTCAGCCAGCTCTTAATGACATTTTTTCATCATTTTACAAGTGCCTTTGTGATGTTTTGTCAATGTGTTATGGTTGGTCATAACCTCTGGGCCATCTCTATGAAAGTGCACTGCAGAATGGCAGAACAAAGCCTGCAGTGTTCTTTCTCACAAATAAACAGTGTTTCTTTTTCTGCCATGGATCAGGCTATGTTACTGCTCGAACATAATACAGCTAAAAATTTAAATGCATAGTATAGCTCAGATAACTTGGTTCTGAAGGAATTTGATGAAAAACATTTCAGTTCATATGAGATTTTGAGGTCTCCTGAAACTCATGTCAGATTACTGTTTTCTCTCTCTCTCTCTCTCTCTCTCTCTCTCTCTCTCTCTCTCTCT